CCGCTGTGGCCAGGGCGTTGTCGAGATAATCCGGGAGTCGCTCTCAGCCAGAGCGTGCGGAGGAAATCTTCCGGTATGAAGGGACTGGCTAGTCTTCTTAAATGTTGGTAGAATTGGGACGGCTTTTTGTCGCCCATCTCTTCGGAGGTCAGCAGTCTGTGTGAGCTCGTGCCGGCTGTATCAGCCAGCTCTCTTGGATGATCTCACCCTTTTAATTTACGTACCGTTCTCAACCTCTGGTGTCCTCACGTCCTCGATATTGTGATAGATACCGGGGCCGCCGAGGCATCTGGCCAGGGTCAGGAACTTCCGCTTATCGTCCGTGAGATCCAATGTTGTCGAAGAATTGCATCTTCAGTAGCGTGAACACGCCGCGATGTCCGACGGCTGCAGCGGGGGCACGTTGATCATTTGGTGGGCTCGTTGATCATTTGGTGTGCTCGTCGATCACTGGGTTGCTCGTTGATCATTTAGTGGCTCGTTGCGTGCCGTCGATATTTGCCATCGCACTGGTGTTTTCATTCACGGCGCTGATTTTCTTCTAATTTACATGTGTAGAAGAAAAATCGGACTCCGGTCGCCGGGATTCGAACCGGGGTCCCGGACGGTTGTAACCTAATGCACTAACCACTTGGCTACCGTCGTCCGACAGATATTAGTGTCGTGCGACAGTATTTGCTGTCCAGTGCCGTCACATATTTTTTTTTTATTTATTAAAATTTACAATCAATTCTCGCATTGAGAATTTTCAGTAATTCTTTTTGGCATGGCGCAGTGACATGGCTAATTATTTATAATAAGTTAATACTTATTATAGATAAGTGTAATTTATAAGTAAGTATTATAAATAAGTAAATATTAATTAATTTAGATAAGTAAGATTTATAAGATAGATAAGATAGATTTATAAGTAAGTATTATAAATAAGTAAATATTAATTAATTTAGATAAGTAAGATTTATAAGATAGATAAGATAGATTTATAAGTAAGTATTATAAATAAGTAAATATTAATTAATTTAGATAAGTAAGATTTATAAGATAGATAAGATAGATTTATAAGTAAGTATTATAAATAAGTAAATATTAATTAATTTAGATAAGTAAGATTTATAAGATAGATAAGATAGATTTATAAGTAAGTATTATAAATAAGTAAATATTAATTAATTTAGATAAGTAAGATTTATAAGATAGATAAGATAGATTTATAAGTAAGTATTATAAATAAGTAAATATTAATTAATTTAGATAAGTAAGATTTATAAGATAGATAAGATAGATTTATAAGTAAGTATTATAAATAAGTAAATATTAATTAATTTAGATAACTAATTGAATCTAGCGTTTAGGTCTAGCGGGTAGTGTTGTCTCTTCAGCCTGCGGATCTGGTCCGACGTATCAAGTAGTCCAGTAATTGGGGGTTTCGATTTTTATTGACTCTTTTGCTATGTGGCAGATCGGTATCAATAAGACGCCGACAGGTCGAGGGATCAACCGCCGACACCAGAGGGCTACGACGAGTCTGTCTATCTCGCTAGCGGTCGAATATACGGACGATTGGTACAAATGCCGCACCTAGCGAGACTCCATCTAAGACAGGGACTACCGGGCATAGCCTTACTGACGAGTCCACCGGTAGTCCCGGGACGAAACGCAAACCTCTCTTTTCATCCGCCACAGCTATATCTGTCGCTATATTTTGCTATTTCCTCTTTGACTGTTGGTACCTTGAGGTCGCGATGTATTAGTTCATTGGTGACATACCAGGGTGCATTTATAACGGTCTTAGCGTTTTCGATTGGAAGCGTTGAAGTATTTCAATGTTGGAATTACTTGCTGTTCCCCATAGTTGGATTCCGTAGGTCCAGACAGGTTTTATTACGGTCTTGTAGAGGCTAATTTTGTTCTGCGTGTTTAGTTTGCATCGTCGGCCAGTGAGCCAATAGAATTTTTTGAGTTTGTCCTTTAGTTGCTTCGTTTTCTCTGTGATGTGGTATGTGCCGCCACATATGTTATTGACTTTTTATATGATTTTATGCGATATGATTTCATATGTTTGATGATTTACGATTAAAAAGTAGAGCATTATCGTATAAAGATCAAAGCTTTTAACAAAGCTTTCTCTCTCTTAACAAGTAGAGTGTAGAGTGCTCGAGAGGCTCCTGCCTAGAGCAGATTTTCTAAATGTCGTCACAGCTTCAGCGATCCAACTTGAGGCTACCGACTTGCTATTACGATTATCACAAATTCTCAGGTTTCTCAATCCTTTAACGAATCTATCGATGAACGACGCCTGCAGGTCGTAAAGAGATGGTTTTGCTGAAAAAAGGATAAGCTGGATGAGAAAAAGGGCAGATGAGATAAGAAGTCACTGATACAATTGCTAGCTGAACGACCCTTTAACCTGTTGCACGTGCCGTATTTACCAGTCTTCGCGAACGTACCTGTTGTGTAACGCGAGAAAATACAGAAACATGAAAACACTACTCGAGCTTATCACGTGAAAGAACGTTTCTGTTATCGCGGGTCTGTACAACGAGCCTATAGAATCGTAACAACTGTTACCATCGATGTTTCAGCGAAGAGGGAAGCAAGGAGTTGAAAGATGTTATCTATTCGTTACTAGGAACGGTAAATGTAAGCTTCGAAGCAACGAGACTAAAATTTCCCGTGAATCGTGAATCGCGAATCGTGAATTGTGATTCTCGAAAATCTCTGGTGCGAGCTATTACCGAACGTGTTTGTATTTTCGACCAATCGCGGGGAGAAGCAATCGGGGATCGTAAATTCCCGTTACGATTATAGCAATCGACATCACGAGTTGTTCGATCCCCTGATTTCCGTTAAGATAACAGGGGCGATTGAGTTTGTATAACACTGTGACTCACAGAATTATAAGGTTTTATTTCCAACACTTAAATTACATCGTTGAGTAGATATAATTCCTAGATGACACTTGTCGCCCGAAGGTAAGATAGATATGCACGCTAGAGCAAGGCTCTTATAATTGAATTTAGTGTATTAGTGGACGTAGCACTATAGTATACTTAGTAGAGGAAGTGATTGTTCGTGCTTAGATTTAGACGTTGTTGTTGACTTTTCTAGCGGTGGACTTTTCTAGAAGAAGCAAGGTTGAGTGACGATGCTGTGTCGGCGGAAAGCTCGCGATGGGTGTGTCTAGCGCGCGGGACCATCGGAATTGTTCATGACATTTTTGGTCAGGAAGTGAGGGCAGTATGCATTGCTTCTGATTGGATAAACGGAGGGTGGTGGACTAGGAAGGATCTTAGCGATAAAAAGTCAATATTAGGAAGCATCGTACGTGGGAAAACCTAACGTTCTCTGGTCAAGCCGCGGTAGACAATAGTCCTTAGAGAGTGATTTAGAAAAAGATATTTGTTCGATCTGAAGGACCTTAGCAAGCAAATTACTGGGATCTATGACATATACTTAAGGCTATCGAGGGTACGTCATAAGGATGAGCGGACATCTGGTGTCCGGCTGGCCCGCGGTACATGCCCTGGTCTAGGTAGACGGTCGCCCGACGTAACAGTGTTTGTTAAAAAATATAGTGGTGCAATTACCTTCTCCTGTAAAGTGCCAGGGCGGCGCTAGCCACGACGACAATGGCTAAAGCCACCCCAAGAACGGTGAGCGTCCAACCCATCCTTCTTAATGCTAAATCCAGGCCCGACCACAAATCCAATCAGACCGCCGAACCTGAAACACACGGAGTAAATCCGTAGAGAGCATGATCCGATTACAGTTACAGAAGCAAGATTACCAGTGGCTTAACGATCTTTATACATACCAACTGTGTGTGGACCCGTTTATTCGATTTCTCAGTATTTTCGGCAATATATTACACGAGTATTCCAACTACTGATCGTAACAACAACCATTTTACCTTTGCTCCCATTTACGTTCTTATCGTTACGTTTAATATCGGAAAATATATCCGCAAATTTATATTTTCATGGACACCACTGAAAAAATGTGCGATATATATATACAGAGAATCGTTTCATTCGCTAAATATTGTAACGAGTGCTTCTATATCATATTTTCGTCTGTTATGTACGTTTTCCCATCTTTAACGATTTTAACGTTAACGTAACGGTGTAGCGTAAAAAAAACAGCGTTCGATGGAACTCACGAAGGACGCAAGTCAGATGGAAGCCGGAAATGTCGATAGAAGTTAACGAGGCGGCACCGTGAACGATAAAATCTCCCCTCGGCAAGTTCTCCGGCGATTCGTGCCTTTGCCGACGACACGAAAGGATTTTCAAGATTCGCAAGAAACTCCACCGCAAAATTAGAGTCGCTCGTGGCGGCGGTTTCATCTCTGGTTACGTCGTGAAGGGTCCCTAATCTGGTCTTTCGACGTGACTGACTCTATACGAACGTGTGGTGTATTCACCTTCTTTGTCACTTGTATACCAATGTACGCGTATATATACGTCGTTTCCAGTCGAACAGACTCGTGTTACGAATACATGCGTTATGTAGAGGCATACATATGCATCGAGGAACAAGTAGGTACATAGTCGGTAGACCAAAGACGACTGGAGAACGCTTGGCCCTTGACGTCGCATAGGTTGCTTCTGCCTCGAGCAACAACGCACGATTTAAAACGCCATTCTCTGGAAATATATATATTTACGATAAAACGATTTATTTTCTCATGCAAACTTTTCCTCCGATTAGCTTCTGGTAGATTAATTTATTTGTCAACCTGGCTTGGCACAATCCCGTACTTTGCTCGGAGCACCAATCCGCATTCCCACGCCAAATCCCTCAATATCTCGTCTCATATCGAACAATCGCTTAACATACACGCGTTTCTCGTAACGTACGCGAATACACTATCCTATACTTACTTAACCTATTTAACATACCTGTCGCGTATCTACCTTTAAATTAGCCGGCTACCTATACTCTTACGCTATTTTTCACCACCGCTCCATTTATCCAACCCTCTGCTAAATCTTCCGCTCTTAAATACGCTAGAATCTGATCTATAGCAGTCTATATTATACAGGGTGGTTGGTAACTGGTGGTACAAGCGGAAAGGGGGTGATTCTACGCGAAAAAAGAAGTCGAAAATATAGAATAAAAATTTTCTTTTAATTTTTCCATCGAGATAACGATCTACAGTGAGATCCGTGAGATCCGAGATAAAGTGCACGCGTACCGAGCGAAAATTCAAAGTCGATTTTCTCGAAAACAAAGCCTCGAACGAGAAATTTTTATTCTATATTTTCGACTTCTTTTTTCGCGTAGAATCACCCCCTTTCCGCTTGTACCACCAGTTACCAACCACCCTGTATAATATAGACTGCTATAGATCAGATTCTAGCGTATTTAAGAGCGGAAGATTTAGCAGAGGGTTGGATAAATGGAGCGGTGGTGAAAAATAGCGTAAGAGTATAGGTAGCCGGCTAATTTAAAGGTAGATACGCGACAGGTATGTTAAATAGGTTAAGTAAGTATAGGATAGTGTATTCGCGTACGTTACGAGAAACGCGTGTATGTTAAGCGATTGTTCGATATGAGACGAGATATTGAGGGATTTGGCGTGGGAATGCGGATTGGTGCTCCGAGCAAAGTACGGGATTGTGCCAAGCCAGGTTGACAAATAAATTAATCTACCAGAAGCTAATCGGAGGAAAAGTTTGCATGAGAAAATAAATCGTTTTATCGTAAATATATATATTTCCAGAGAATGGCGTTTTAAATCGTGCGTTGTTGCTCGAGGCAGAAGCAACCTATGCGACGTCAAGGGCCAAGCGTTCTCCAGTCGTCTTTGGTCTACCGACTATGTACCTACTTGTTCCTCGATGCATATGTATGCCTCTACATAACGCATGTATTCGTAACACGAGTCTGTTCGACTGGAAACGACGTATATATACGCGTACATTGGTATACAAGTGACAAAGAAGGTGAATACACCACACGTTCGTATAGAGTCAGTCACGTCGAAAGACCAGATTAGGGACCCTTCACGACGTAACCAGAGATGAAACCGCCGCCACGAGCGACTCTAATTTTGCGGTGGAGTTTCTTGCGAATCTTGAAAATCCTTTCGTGTCGTCGGCAAAGGCACGAATCGCCGGAGAACTTGCCGAGGGGAGATTTTATCGTTCACGGTGCCATAAGTTTTGCGTATGTAGCGAAATTGGGTAATTAGTTTCACTTTGTAACATTTCCTTGATAGATATATAATCATCCCGTGCAATTTTACAACTTAACATTTTCTAAAATGTACATGTAAGCATTCTTAGTCAACTAAACTAAATAAAATTCATATACAAAGATATCGGTCGAGGGTTAATATCAATTTATTACAGACTAACAATAATTTATAGTTGGCAATTCGTTCATGGTTTTCTAGTTCTCCTTCGTACGTTGTTCGCGTTTGCGATTGCTTAAGCTTCATATACGTATCACCGGGAAGAAGTCGAGGTATCGTGTTCCTCTGTCACGTACATCGGAGATTCTATATTTTTATCTGAGAAAGGAACGCGTCGTCCATTTTCCGCGCACAGGGTAATGCTCCCCCTTTTATCTCAGACGTTTTGACACAAAGTACGTGTGTGGCTTAGCTTAGGTGTAGTCATGTACTCATCTTCTTTCAAAAAAAGGAGAAAGGAAAAAAGAAAGAAATAAAGAAAGGAGGGGGAGGGGTCGGTAGGCTAGCGTGGAGGAGGAAGGGGTGAAAGAAAGAAGGTACACCACGGCGTGTGTGTGAAAAAATAGGCCAAGCCAGCGGAGTCGGTGAACTTTGCTCAGATACTTCGACGAGCATACGAGTATACAACGAGCATACAGCAATCCGGATGGTTTCCCCTTCGAAGATGCAATCCGCTCTTCAAGCGCTATAGATACGAACGATCTAGCCTATAAATCGCGCATATGTCCACGGTATTTCTAAATATCGTACCTCCAACGCAAGTATTCTCACCAACCAAGAGAATTCCGTTGGTATTTTTCTCCTGTGACCTTATTTTTTTATCGTGATTATCGATTATCGTTTGTGTTTCAAAGTAATTTTTATATGCTTCGTTTGCCGTTATTCAAGATAAATCATATACAAAAGTATGATTGACGGTTGTTACGTCGCGTAACACTCTACCTGGCCCAGGCCACACACCGCGGGCAAGATAGCAACCAGATGTCTTCGGATACTCACTGCGTACCCTCAATAGTCTCAAGTATCTTCCATAAATCTCAGGAATTTCTTAGTCGAGGTCTTCCAAACTGAACAAACGTCTGTTTCCCAGGCATTTCTAAAGACCTTTGTCTACTACGGCTTGACAAGGGAAAATTAGTTTTTCTCACGTATGATGCAACTTTCCTTCCATTAACCACTTTCTCTCGAGGGCGGTTAAGACCCTTCGTTTAACCAATTAACAACGAAGACTATTTCCCTCACTCTCTTAGTCAAAATCGTCACCAACAAATCCGATGGCCCCGTGCGCTAGACACACCCATCCTTAGCTTTCCCCCGCCACAGCATCCTCTCCGAACCACACTGATATTACATCTTTCGAACAGTCAACATCCTTTGACCGGGAATACACCCGTAGATCAGTCACGCACTAATTTCGTACATACGCACCAGCGTAACTGTCTTCTTTACAAGTTGGTAGAATAAGCGGTGATATATAACTTACTATACTGTGTTATATTCATTTAACAACCTCTGTTATCTTAACCGAAACAGGGGAACGATTATTTCGCGGCGTCTGTTTTCGCACGTTCGCGGGGAGACGCGATCTCGAAGAAACGCGCCAACGGGAGTCGTAAATTCCCGTTACGATTTGCTAATCGACGCCGCGAATCGCTCGATCCCTTATTTCGTTTAGGATAATAAGGGTAGTTAAATGAAAGATAACGCTGTTGCTGACAGGTTATTATATATTTTCACAAACCAACAACTTAGGTGTAACACAACTGAATATTTGTTATGATATGATTACGAATGAATGCGACCTGAGTCTCGAGACGGATTATCGCGTGTACGGATGGATTTGTCGACTCACTGTATTCGAATTGCTGACCGCTTGACGAGATGCTTGATTGAGACTGTTGGTTGAGACGCTTGGTTGAGACTCTAGGTTGAGACTGTCGGGTGAGACTCTCGGGTGAGACTGCCGAACATCACTGATTTTACATCCTTCGAACAGTCAACATCCTTCGACCGGGTTTACACCTGAAGATCAATCAGTCTCAATCAAGCATCTCGTCAAGCGGTCAACAATTCGAATACAGTGAGTCGACAAATCCATCAGTATACGCGATAATCCGTCTAGAGACTCAGGTCGCATTCATTCGTAGTCATCTCATAGCAAATATTCATTTTGTGTTACACCGAAGTTGTTGGTTTGTGAAAATATATAATAACCTGTTAGCAGCAGCGTTATCTTTCATTTAACTACCCTTATTATCCTAAAAGAAATAAGGGATCGAACGATTCGTGGCGTCGATTAGCAAATCGTAACGGGAATTTACGACTCCCGTTGGCGCGCTTCTTCGAGATCGCGTCTCCCCGCGAACGTGCGAAGACAACGGTAGGTAAACTTTGGCTGGTAAACTTGGATTTGTTAAATTTCGCGGCAACGAATCTTGCATGTAAGCAGCGAAAATAAATAAGTCAAGGATTGAAAAACGGTGTATGGAATATGTCGGGAAAGCAAGACAGTACATAGCGAATA